TCAAGCACTTCTCCGACATGGGATTGGAGATCAGCATGGTTAGCTCTGGCGTTAGTCTCCTGTACGCCAGCTTCTATGGGCCGTCTAAGGTTAAGGACCGTCTTCCTATGAAGTATGTACCCCCGATAACCACAGAAAGTATTACAGTACTAATTGCTTATGATACAGGATGAGCAAGTTGGTGGAGCACATCAGCAAGAAGCCTGTTCCGGAGCACCAGAAGAACGTCATCTTCGAGGTGACTGCGGAGGATCAGACGGAGGAGGATGTTGAGATTCCGTATGTGATGGTGAAGCTGAGAAAGTAGAGGGGGTGACCGGCACGAGAGCAGAAAAAGGCCCGTGATCTCTCTGGATATGTCCGTTTACGCACTAGACGCCACAGTATAAGTAGTTTTATCTTCTCAATTAAATTCTTCTAGGAATATACTACTGTCTATGTTCCGCGTTTTTCGAGAATAATCTTGACTAAGTAGAAGACTAATAAGCTAACTAGTGATTCCGCGAAGGATGAGGGATTGATTAATTAATTACTGAGCAAGCTGTTTGTAAGCGGGAGGCTCAACTTCCGTTATTAACGCCTCCGTAAGCAATGCTGTAAGCAAAGCATCACGTCATTGGCTCCCCGCACCCCATCGGTCAGCGTCTGGCCTCGTATCGCCTCGTCCTACTTTTTGTATATGAACGAGCTCCCTGCCCCTCCTTGCCATTGCCATTGTTCCTCATGTTTCCCGCTCTCCATCGACTTCGACAAGTCTCGCAACATATCTTGCAACCCAAAGCTATCTCCAGCTTTCCACATCCAGCTACCTGCAGAAGCTCTTTCTTCCCCGCACAGCCGATCTTTAATCCAGCACGCACCATGGCTGTAAGTCACCATTATTCCCCGCTGTTTCATTCAATTATCAATCCCCTCTAACTAACTATCTGCGCTCATCCAGACAGGTAACAGTGGCAAGATCACAGACTGGGTCAATCCCAATGACAAGTCGGGCGAGTTCAAGCGCCAGACGTCAGTCTTCCGCAACTGGATCTCCAGAGAGCCTGGCGCTCAATTTCCTCCCGAGAAGGGCCGTTATCACCTCTACGTTTCTTACGCCTGTCCTTGGGGTGCGTCTCTCTATCTTCCTCCGGAGCTGATTATCCACATACTAACGCCGCGATTCCTCGCACAGCCCACCGGACTTTGATCACACGCAAGCTCAAGGGTCTTGAGGACATCATCTCCTTCACCTCCGTCCATTGGCACCTAGGAGAAAAGGGTTAGTTTTCACACAAATTGAGCAATCCGACGAGAGAAAAACTCACAGAATCAAACAATAGGCTGGCGCTTCGCAACCGCAGAAGAACAACAACCCGAAGAAAATGTCACGAACGACCCTCTACACGACTACACCCACCTGCGCGAAATCTACTTTTCCAATGACCCCGACTACACCGGCCGATTCACCGTCCCCGTCCTATTCGACAAGAAAACCAACCGCATCGTAAGCAATGAGGTAAGCACATCCCCCCTCGCCTTCCCACCCAAGCAGAGTGCAAAGCGCTAAACTTCCTCCTCCTAAAAACCAGAGCGCTGAAATCATCCGCATGCTCTACTACGAGTTCGACGACCTCCTCCCGGAACCCTACAGATCCATCGACCTATTCCCCTCTTTTCTCCGCACGGAGATCGACTCCTCCAACGAATGGATCTACAACGACGTCAACAACGGCGTCTACAAGTCCGGCTTCGCCACCACGCAAGAAGCATATGACAAGGCCGTCACGACGTTGTTCTCCTCACTCGACAAGATCGAAGCGCATCTGTCGGACTCGAAGAACGCGCCGTACTTCTTCGGTTCAGAGATCACGGAGGCGGATATTCGTCTATTCACGACAATCATTCGCTTTGATCCGGTCTATGTGCAGCACTTTAAGTGCAATATTCGGGATATTCGGTCCGGGTACCCGGCTATTCATCGCTGGATGAGGAAGTTGTATTGGGATGTGCCGGCTTTCAAGGAGACGACGAATTTTGAGCATATCAAGTTCCATTATACCAAGAGTCATAAGCAGATCAATCAGTTTGCTATTACGCCGGTTGGCCCGTTGCCGGATGTTTTGCCCAAGGATGAGGAGGTTAGGGCTGTTAAGGGTGCTTAGGGGGGGGGGGGTTCTTTGGTGGGTTTAGGATATGTTGATGTTAATAATACTATAAGTCTCTGATATAATTTGCAAATATGCAAGTTGTATTTCAGCTGAATGTGCAAGCTATGTATCTCTCTATATCCATGTATCGACGCAGCAAGTGCGGTGTGAGGTATGACCCTACGTACAATTAAGGAAAAAATGGTAAAGGAAAAAAGAAAACAGTCCACCCCGGCGACACCCCCCATGTAATTCAATGTACAGAAGACAAAAGCAATGTGAAACTCCATAGCAATGCTTTGTCGCGCGACGCCCTGCCATGCTAGTCAAGCCGGTCATGCGACTTTCCCAATCCGTGGGGAAGCTGGCTATCCAAGTGAAATAGTATGTAGATTTCACGATACCAGCAATGAGTGAGAAGTAGTCAAAGCCATCGGGCTGTTCAGCGAGAAAGATGCAGCAATAAAAAAGAGGGACGGGAATCTCTGACGGGGAGTGGTGTGTGGACAAAGGACAGATCCACATTATCGCCCTAGAGAGATGTTGATGTGCCCGTGGGGGCTTTATGGGTATCTCAAACGCAATGTCTAAAAACGGTGGTAAGTAGAAGGAAATTCGAGAATATGGCGAAACAACTGGTAAAGTTCCAAGCCACGGCATCAATACAGCCAACTTTGTCTCTGAGCGGCAAGGCCCCGAGACTTGTTTTGCTGAAGCCGTCTATTTCAACCCGAGCATCCGCTTCGAATTTTCATAGACGACATAGCTGATGGACACCGCAGGTGCGACCTTGAGAAGATTCGGCGTCAGCCCTTTATAGAAGCCACGCAGTCCTTCGGTCTGTATAGTCTTGCGAGCGACGTCTCCAATGCCGTTGTAGGTCGCGGGATGCAGAACGGTGCCCTGGGCTTGCATTCTCGTCCTGAGAACATTGAGTGGATAGACAACCGAAGCACCAAATCCTCCACTCATAGCGCCAATCGCTCCGGTGGTGAAGTTGTTCAGGGGCACGTCATCCTCATGACAATTGTTCAGGCGAGCTTTCCGCGCTATTAAGGCTCGCTTCATGTATTCGAAAGTAGACAGATCGATGGCAGCGTAAGGGAACATGCCAACAAGACCGAGAGGCAAGCCACGGAAAAAGCCAAGTAGGCCGTGCTTGCACCACACCTTTTTGAACGTAGCTGCGATGAGCTGGTTTCCCTTCAGGCCACCTTCGACGGTGTCACACTGCATGCGACTAATAGAAAGTTAGTTCGGTAGAACGAGCGACTGAGACCAATGACTGAGGATATGACTTACAACTTCAAAGTATCAAGAGGGTAGACGAAGCACCTGCATATGCGTTAGATCGGCTACCTTGATTGAAATATGCTACTGCGACGTACTGTGCGACCATTCCACCGCAACCTCCAGACAGAAACTGCGATACAGGCATGAGGCGTTTGGGGTCACCATGGCCCTCCAGGCGGGCGAAAGCACGTTTTGCAGACTGTCGCACGTCAGTCACATGAATATAAATCTGAGTTGCATCGAGCGATTAACTCACTTCATAAGCACCGAACTTGATGGCTGACTCGGGCATGACTTTTACAACGTTCAGACCGTTGCCTGTGAAAGTGAGAAATATGTCATAACATACTTTAACTAAGAGTCTTACCTGCGAACAGACTCCGGATACCGCCCGCACGCCACAGATCTTTCACAGCATCGACGAGGGTTTTCGACGCCTTCCCCGCTGCACGCAAAGGTGCGCCATCCTTCGCTGCGCGGACAGCTGAAGTTTTCACGCCGGTCTGAGCAATGAGATAGACCTTAAGTCGGTCTAAGGGTGCGGTCGCTGTCCTGGACACTGCGCCTGCGATACCACCGGCAACGAAGTAACCTAATTGAGGAGTGCTTTCGGTCAACTTCTGTTCATAATATCGGAAGGACATCCACATGGCGACGATCCTGGGTATGGGCAACCACTCCAGTTCCAGGTCATTGTCTAAGGGTGTAGAGTCATCCTCAAACGCGACCCCAACCTTGGACACGCCGGGGGCTTCCGCGTAGGCTGAAGGAATCAAGAGTGTCAAAATGTGCACTGGGAAAACGTTGGAGAGGAGGTTCTGTAAGGCCAAGATATAACGTTTAAGAAACGAGTGGTCTGTACCTAAGCCCTGCAGATCATTGATGTGGACATCTCCTTCCGGGTTAAGATTTCCCGTGGCGGTGTAGTATGACAAGACAGCGCGGAGGTTTGAGGACGAGTAGGCCGGCAGGAAAAGAAGAAAATCCCTGGATACCAACAGGTCATTAGCTGGAGACTCCGGACACCTTCAGCTGACCGCTATAGTACGTACCTCCACTCTGCATACGAAATGACGCCATCTTTATTGCTATCGACCTCCGCGAAGAATTCTTCCAGCCTTGCGTTGGAGACCGTGACCCCGGATTTCGAAAAAGCGGTCTTGAGCTCATTCTTATCGATCTCGCCGTTATGATTGTGGTCTATGCTCTCGAACAGTTGCCAGAGGCCGATTTCGGTATGATCCACGAAGGTCCGGAATTCTGGTGAATATTAGGTTGGAAAAACGACTGGCGTCTATAGCCAGTGACACTAAGGAGGATATGAGACGCTATGGGGGAGTGCGACGCATGATCTTACCAGGATAATCAATGTAGCCATCCCCGTTGGTATCCACTGCCTTGATGATATCGCGTAACATAGGGTCCGCATTCTTGAGTGCTGTTGCATCTCAAGCCGTCAGGTCATCTGCACCGAGCCGCACGGGATCATGTCATGATCGTGACTTACGGTGATCAATCTTTTTTAGTCCTTTCTTTAGGCCATTGAAATCAAGATGACCTTCACCCTTGGTATCCAAGCGCTGCCAGAGTTGGTCGACTCTCTGGTCCCGCTCTTTCTGCGACTCGCCAGTGTCCATGTTCGGTGAAAAGTAATTCTTATCACAACTGCGTCATTATTTTTTTAAGGAGGGGTCGGCGGGTTTGAAGAGGAGAGTTTCCCTGTCGCAGCAGGGCAGAAAGTGAAGGTGAGTGAATAATTTGGGCATCGAAAATCACTGGCGGGCGAAATTATGAACGAAGTGTTAATCCGGCGTTCATGATTGTCGATTCAAGGTCAGCTGGGGTGAGGCCGACAGCCGTGAGAAATCCAGGCGCGATGATTTGCTTTCCTTACGACATGAACCGGAAGAAAACTAGACCCCGGCCCGGTCGTCCCCAAATCTCCCGGCTATTCCCGTTTAGGCGCCTTTCACTCCCGCCTTTCAGTCTTGCCTCCAGTTCGGCCCCTTCGGAGTCCCATCTCCGACCTGCACAACATCAAACCTCATCTTCACTCCGATTGCTGAAAAGGGGTGTGTGTTGCTTGATTCAGGCTGTTGCTCCCCTCATCAAAACACCCTCCAGCTCTCCTGAACCAGTGGGTCGTATACCACACCAGCCACACGTCCACAGCCCCCTCGGATGCCCAAAGCCAACTGGATAATCTGTACCCATCCAGCATCTCTTAGGCCCAAAGGGAAAAGCACTATGGTGGCTGTTGCTACCTCTTCTATACTAGATTAATCCCCCACCCGATACCCCTTTCCCGCTAGACACCCAACAATGGCTGCTAATTACTGGGCATCAACTCAACGCCGACACTGGCTCTTCACGAGAGAGAAGTTGGCGGAGATTCGGGAGAACTTTAGAGAGCGTGATATGGTCGCTCATAGTCAGTTTCCTTTGCCGGATCAAAGGTTGCTGAACATCTATTTCAGTCAACGTAAGATAATATAGTACATACCCTATATCGGTGGGCATCCAAGCTCACCAGGCCAACAGAACTCATTAAACTGGGGAAACGGATGTCTACTCGACAACAAGCACTTGCGACAGCGCAAGTCTATGTCAAGAGGTTCTACACCAAGAACGAGATTAGACATACAAACCCGTATCTTGTCGTCACTACTGCCTTCTATCTGGCTTGTAAAATGGAAGAATGCCCTCAACATATTCGATTTGTCGTTGGAGAGGCTAGAGGTCTCTGGCCAGGTACGGATCACTCGCATATATGCACCCCGTGCGCTTCCCGCTGACGTGGCTACAGAGTTTATTGCCCCAGATGTTTCAAAACTAGGAGAGTGCGAGTTCTCTCTGATATCGGAGATGAACTCTCAGCTTATTGTGCACCACCCATATCGAACATTATCCGAACTTCAACCCGAGCTGTCACTTACGTCAGATGAAGTTGCTCTCGCGTGGTCTGTAATCAATGACCACTATCTCACCGACCTGCCGCTCTTATATCCGCCTCACGTCATCGCTGTCATGGCGATTATCGTCGCCGTGGTCTTCAAGCCCAGCCAAACGAGCTTTCACGGGTCAGCAGCACCACTAGCCAGCGCAATGCGCGATGGCGGCATGAACATTCTGGCCGCATTGGGAGAGAAGGGCGGCAACGGCCCTCCTCCCCGCATTCAGCGACTTATAGGATGGCTTGCCGAGAGCGAGGTGGACATCAAAGCCGTCATAGAGTGTACTCAAGAGTTGGTGTCGCTGTACGAGGTGTGGGAGCAATATAGCGAGAAGCATTGCAAAGAGCTTCTGGGACGGATGGTGAAGAGCAAGAACCTGGACAAATAAACATACATTTCTCATGCACATACATAGGGTTTTCAAGCGGCGTTCAAGGGGGTCAGTCATGTCATTACGAAAGCATGTCATGCGCGAGCGATACTGATTTTCAGATCCATATTTCGGGTTTCGGCTGGTTGCAGATTGTTTCAAGTCAGTTGCATTATCGCATAGTCCAAGTGGATGCCATGGAGAATATATTGAGGTACTATAGATATATCATAGCGAACAAAGAGATTTCAGAGACACAAACGCCCGTCCTCCCTCCGGACCAGACTGAATATCCCGCATGTCGGTAACCGCCTTCAACAGCTACACATGACGCACAGTACTACTCATTCCACCTGTAAGCCATGAAATCCATGCAAGCAACACTATTCCACGGACATACAAGACCCCCTTCAAGTGCTACTCCCTGACACATACCCAAGCTCAAACCATATAGATCACAATTCACCCATCAACTAAGCTTCCCAAATCCCCACAACCAACAAGATCCGTAAGAACCCAATAGCAAACAATAGCAAATAGAAGCCATTTACCTATTCCTCCTGCATCGGTACCTGCCTACAGTACGTCCTACCCAGCTGTCAGAATGTGAAATTCCTCCCTCTTGAGTCAGTAAGCAAGCCAATGTTGAACGGCATGTATGATTTGACTTTCAGTTCTACCAAGGTAAGTCTATCTAGCTAGCTGTTTGCAGTAGTGTTTACGCAGTCACTAGTCTAGTGCCCTTGTTGCATGCCGATGGTATCTAATTCTAACTATTACTTACATACATACATACATACATCCTTGTAAATGAGCGTATGTATGTACGTATGTGTGTATGCAAGTCCTTGTTTGTTCCTAAAGGAAGATTCTGGAATGCGTGGGGAATTTGCATTCTGGCATGTGGTGGTCGACTACATAGCTACGTAGTAGCTAGGGATGGAGGGTGGAGGATCGAAGGGATGTATGTTATGCTTGGGTGCGTGGATGTCAATCCGACTGTGTTGTAAGTACTGTACGTGATTTAGATAGTGACCACTTTGTTAGCTTAAAACGGGCTCTTGTGTGACGCTAATTCTGTCAGATTGTAGTAGGCTATGCTACGAGATCCTCATGGTGGATGGATGTATCGGGTATATCCGTTGAATGTAGTATGTAATCTTCAAGCTTTTTTACTCTCTATCTACTCTACCACTAGTTGAGAATCAATCTTGCACGGGGAACCGATCACGCAGTTCAGTCAGTCAGTAGTAGTATTGACAATTTGGCCTGGGGCTTACAAGGTTTATCCCTCGAAAGTGGAAAGCTATTTCAATTGAGTTTCAGTCCGAGTTGACCCGTGAATAATCTCAATTTACTCTCCCGTTTGCAGGCGTGACACAGGTACCACTTCAGCCATGCACTCTGTTCTGCTTCGCTGATAAATCCATACACACATGAACGCTACAACTCAGATCCCTTTCAGCAACTAAGGATATGATGTCGTTTATTGGACACCTCTAATGCAACATGGGCGCTTCCTGAGACCGTTGGCCAGACTAGGCAGGAAGATCGTGTTTCATATCCCTTGCTTCGGGGTACGTATGTGGGCGGAGATACACTTGCGCACAACTCCAGTCTTGTTGTTGAGGGGAGAGTACCCCCCGAGACGGATGGACAGAGACTATCGTCCTATACACAGGCGAGATCAACAAATATTCCGGAAATGGCGTCTGGAGTGCAGCAGATCCCGCTTCACGGCCCCCCGCCCATCAAGCCATGTACGTATACTTGTGTACACTCCAGGCCGTGTTGCGGGCTGTGTATCTAGGCCTTTTCTTCATAGCGCTGCAAGACATTCCTCCCAACAGGGGTGTTTGTATGAAATGTGGTAAAAGAGAAATACCAATTCAATACCAAGAATACCATACATACGGCAGGGATGGAAAGAGTCCGATCATAGTTAGTAGCGGCATCGGATGCCTCGAGGCTACTTTCTAGTCCCTAGTAGTTATCGGCAAAACTTACTTGCTGTATGGATCATCCCCATAAGCATGATCCAGTGACTCTACCGGATTTTTCTCAGTGCGCCCCTGCCTTGGGCATCGAGATGCACCTATCATGAGATGAAGATCATACAACAAGGTTCCTGGTCCCGAGAGGGGCAACTCCAGACTGCGTTGCATTCCCCATCTACCGAAAGGGCGGTGAGGTGGTCAGATCTTAGCAGGGACATTATCTTGCCGAATGGGATCAGAAATCATGTCTCATGGGGGGCTGGCTTCTCAGCAGGTTTATTTAGCACGGTTTGGACACGAGAGTAAAGTGTGAGAATACCACTCTGGCATCCATGGCTAGTAATGCCCAATCGCTTGTGCAGACAAGAAAGCGCCCCCATTCCATCCACGGTCGCTTGAGAGTGTGTACGTTCCTCCTACCTACCCTCGGGACTGCATCCTGCAGTAGTCTGCAGGTTTGGAGCAGCTGTGACCCTGCTAGCATGCGTTCTAAGCCCGATCCATAATATATTATGCTGCCATGGCTGTTCCAGTAGCCGCCATCATTCCTACCGGTCTGTTCCCTCCCCCCCTCCTCCTCCCCTAGATGCATCCCCATCCTGCATTTACGCTACCGTTGACCAGTGATACGGCGTTTCAACCCCTGGGTTTAGCGTGTGCACTGGAGGGTCCAGGCGTCGGGGAAGACAGACCGCAAACTTGTTCTGCGTTTATTGGAAACGAGTACGTACTGTAGATAATGAAGTACACCTATGTGTCGTGACAGCGGATGGGTTTACGGAGGATACTAAAATCTACATTGCTGCCTGCATGGAGGAAGGTGCAGGGCCATGCAGTGGTCGTAGCGCTTGCCCCATGTGGACGGATGGGAAGACAGGGAGCAGATCCTTAACAATGCAGAGCAGCCAAGCCCAGTTCAAGATTCGGTTCCTTTGTTGACGGCGTTCTCCGTACCTGATTGATTTTTGAGATGAACAATACTGAAGAGGAGGGACTCAAAAACAAACAGTGCCTATATGGGCATAAATCCTAAACGAGAAAAACGAGAAAATCATTTGTTATTTTATTACTATTCCGTAATATATTTCTGGTCCGAAAGTACTACTGACAATAGTATCAGCTGACTATCCGCTCAAAATGGAGAAGATCCAGATATTGAAGTGGAGGATTAATTTCTGTTATGGAATACTTGTCGAAGCCGTCGAAGGGTGGCCATGGCAGGAGCTGCCCGTTATTAATCTCATTAGTTAATGACAATCTTCAATGGTTGGGGGGAAAAGACAAAGTAAGATGGCCCGAGTCCCGCCCGCCCACTCTAAGGAGGGCGCCTCTCCCTGAAAGTTGAAGACAAATTAGGGGAGGAGATGATGGGTAAACGGCAATAGTAGGTAGGCTTAGAATGGAAAAGGAGCGCCCCGACGAGACCAAGTGGCACGGTTCAAGGGAAAGGTACCGAGAATAACAGCAACGAAAAAGAGGGTAGCTAGTCTGGTGGGGCTCACCACATTTTTTGCAAATCATTACCCGCAGGTGTCGTAGTGGGCATTTTGCCTGCTTGCCAGCGCATGCCTGTCTTCGGAAGTGGGAGCCACATACTACTACTGTGTACTCCCTCCAGTCTTACCTGCCCTTTTCCCTTTCTGAACACGAAGTGATTGGGGGTTCGATACCTGACGAGGTACAGGTACGACGGGAAGGATCCTCCTGGTGACCTTGAAAACGACCCAACACAGAGAGAGAACCACTACAGAGCATTGCCACGATGTTCTTTGCCATTGCCATCGTCATCATCCATGCATCCGCTGGTGGGCGAGATGGATCGATTGATACTCCATTAGCAGTGCAGATCCACAGGACTGTACAGACAGTGTTCTCTATCTAACGGCAGTCTGCATCATACAATTAATGAATGTATGTAAGTAGGCATCATTGCACCATCATCTGTAATACTCATGGGCTGTTCATGACGGTAATACAGCCTTAAAGTCCAGGCTGAGACCCGGTCTTCATCCGACAGCCGCTTGCACTCGTCACGGTTAGATCGAGGACACCCATATATTAGGCGTCAAGGGAGAGGGTGCGCCGTTCCATTCCTGAAGGGGACTAGATCACTTCCTTTCGACGTCACTAAGACCCGCTTAGTAGCCGATTAGAGCAGTCAAAATCGGTGTTCTATTGGCCAAACTGACGGTGGCTGCCATGAGCCCACTACAGGGGGATATGATTGGGTATCGGGGCATCAACTTGCCACTGAGGATCCATTGACAGGGGTCTGGTTGGTCCTCACCCTGCCCTAAAACTGGGTGCGTGACCAGGTTAGCGCGGGAAATCTGGGACTAGGATGTTACAGACTTACAGACGATACCACGGATACTTTACAGGCGCCTCGGCGAGGGAACCACTTGTAACCAGTAATGTCCTTTCACTCCCTCCATACTCGTGGATGCCACCGGTAGGAAAAGGCTGTGTGTGTGGTAAGTACGGGTCACGTATGTTCCCTTGCGGATCTCCACCGACGTGCACTTTTGCTCAGCCCCAGTCGAATCACAACTGCAGCCCCTCTTGCTCTCAGTCTCTCGCCTCCGTCCGCTCCGGGCGCTGCGACTCTTTTCTCGCTCCCGGTCTTCTTTTCAACTCTTGTCCCGCCATCCGTTGATGATTCCCCATCCCACAACACTAATCGCAAATTCGCCCGCCCCCCGATCTCTTACACTTTCACTCTCGCATTCACTTCCCATTATCTCTCTACCCATCTTTACTCCCACAATCTTCTCTTTTTCTTCCTTATTTCAAATCCGCTTTTCCTGCTTCCGCACTCTGCATTCCGTCCGACCGCTTGTCATTCTTCCACCTTACTCCGTCTCTTTTCTTTGTTACTCTAGTCCGTCCGGAGTTGCATACTGTCGGGATTCCTGAGCGCTGGTCTTTGTTTATATCCGCCCTCGAATTCCTCAGCATACCCTTCCTACCGATATAACTTCGCTTTACCTTTTGTTGCGTTCGTTTCGCCACAACCACACAACAAAATGTCTACGTTCTTCTACGGTCACCAGCAACAGCACCAGCACCAGCAACACCCTCACCACGGTGCTGCCGCCCACATGGCCAACTCAAACAACCACCATGGGGGTCGTTCCCGTCGGGGACCCAAGATGGCTGCCCAGAATGCTCAGCGCCAGTTCAGAGGTGTCAAGAGCATGAGGGAGCTTGCTGAGGCCCCTGCTGTGACTGCTTTCCGTGCCCGTTTCGAAGCTGGACGGTCTTTTGACCTGGATGACGACCTGGAGTTTTGCCCCAGTCTCCTGACAGAAGATGATGTATGTTTGTCGAGCCCAGCCTAGCACTCCCTCCCTCTCTCTCTCCAGCCGTTCGTACTACGGATATCTTGGCTGCCGACCCCGTACTTTAATGGAACAGCTTGTTGACCCCTGATTTACAGCTGCACTCCATTCACTCTGCTTCCTCGGATCGGTCATCTCTCTCCAGTGGATCTCCCGATACCTCTCCTCTCCAGCACCAAATCCAGCCTGTCCAGCAGGTCACTCCCTCCATCTCCCTGTCTCCTGCCTCCAGCAACTCCTATGTTCACTCAGGGGTTAGCGGTAATCTTAATCACGTGAACTTCCAGCAACCGTCGGCAGTCCGCACCCGCAAGGTTATCCCGATCGTCAACCCCAATACTGGCATGACCTTGACGAGCCCGCCCACGTCGATTTCCCCGGCCTCGATGCAGAATGCCCAGCGTCGGTGGTGAGGACCGCGATACTGGCAAGTCGCCGCTCCATTCGGCAAAGGGCCACTTAGGCTCATAGCATGTTCACCACGTTCGTTCGGCTTCTGCATCATCGGGCTCCCTAACCGCGGGTTATAATTGTTACTGCTTTGTTTTGCTTTCTGTTCGACACGGCCATCGCATTCTTACGATTCGACTGATCTTCCCTTCTCCTTTTTTGGCTTCACGAGCGCAAAAACAGCAAAGGATAAACCAGTGTTTCTCTGTATATACACCTTACTTCGATGACGACTCGAGCAACTTATACCTAGACTGATGCTTTCGGCTTCCTGCGAGCGACGGCGCCTGCGATATTCGATTTTTGCATTCCACCTTAAACGATACCTTGTTTTTATCTTACGGTTAGGGAAACCCTTGTGCTTTGACCTCGAGTTTTGGCCGCGATGATGTATAGAAAGCGCGGCGATCGGCCATTCAGGCGCGCATCTATGGACCGGAGTTGCTTTTTTGGTTTCCCACGGCGGCTATGCCAGATTTGCTGTTGGCGGTTATACCTCATCTTTTCGGCTTGGTGTTTTGTCACATTTTTGGGTGGGATGGATCATTTTCTCATGCTTTTCAGGGATTTAGAAAGGCGGAAACGATATATACGTCTGCATTGATTGGGCTTTGCTGAGTTGTTTGGGATGTTTGGCTGGTTTCGACCTACACTTCGCATATGTTTTCATTTCTTGAAAAATTCTGTTTGTTATACCATGTATATGGGTTGGTTGGGGAATTGGTGACACGCGGTGCTTGTTACTTTTCAGGTCAACTGGCTGTGAAAATCCATGGATTGGATGAGGAGTTTTTCTTTATTTCCTGATTTTTTCTGGGGGTCACACTCGCCTTCTTTCGCGAGATAGACCACTGTCTTGATGGGAGTTGTCAGTTGACGACATAATTCGCTTCTGTTCGCCTCCACGTTGATTCGTTCGGATGTTTTACTTAAAGTCATGTTCTTCGACTCCTGGGGACTCCCGGAGAATGTGATGCAGTGTATGATCTTCCTGATTCTGTTCGCTTCTTGGGTATTCCGTCTCTTACCATATCTCCTTTGTCTATACGCTTTTTGGCTGGAACTATGGGGGGTAATGCCTATACATAGTTGTGAAATTAGCTTTGGACTCCATTCAGTCGTGAGACTTTTCAGCAGTAGAAGTAGGGATGATAGTAATTTGGTGATAATTGCATCGTTGTAGAAATCCGCCACATGACCTCATAATCTGGGGTGATATCGTATCATGCAGGTTGCAGATTGAGGGGCAATAGAGCATAACGGTTGCTATCGCAACGGCTAGCTTTTGATGAAATAGTGGTTATCAGATTGCCGTATTGTGGTTGGGGTTGAGTGGTCGACGCTCGATGCTGTGTAGAGGCCCAGGCGGATATATATTCATAGGCCCCGAAACGGGTATGAAGCAAACCACAACGTTCACGAAACAAAGCATCGAGAGCATCTGATGCAGCAAATACATTCAAATGATGAGAAAGCAGTAGAATATTAAGATAGTCGTCTTCCTACTCATGTGGTGGGTGATCCCCTACTTATCTGGTTGTCATGGCATAGGAGGAGTGGTCAAAGTACGTGATGTCATATCCTTGATTTGCGGCGTCGAACCTGGAAGACACTGAAGTCTCTTGCATCTAGAAACATTTTCTCCGAAAACACCGTTTGAATCCCTTTCTTGATCAATACTACAGAAACAGCATAAGCAGATACTATACTAATGAAAACAGTCTCTTTATAAACTAACCAAAGATATCACATCTACCCCGTAGAATAGAACGGATGATGGAGATACTTACTCCGTAGACTACGTCCCGAAACGCATCAGACTCCATGACGTCACCGCTACTACAGCCAGCAATTCGTCAAAACTGGCATTGAGTAATGGCTGCCAACTGATTCACCCGAGGTCGAACGGGACTCTCTTTTCCCTGGAATTGATGATTGGCAGCTGGAAGGGAGTTCTCGCTTGGTGGAGGGAAATGATTTAAAGTACATAAGGCCGCCGCTATCCATCTTTTGCTTTGGATACTATCTATCTATCTATCTATCATCCAGTTACATCTAAAGATTGTCACTTATCAACGCATTCTATCATATATCCATCGCTGGGATTACTGAGAATACTTATTGAGAATTGTAAGTACACTATCATGCACAATTTATCGGAAAGGTGGTTGTTAGGAGTGGAAGAAGATAGCTTCTTCCCAGTATACTACCTCATCCTCGACCAACCATCCATTGCTTTCAATCTAAGAGAGATTTAACTAACAACACCATCAATCTCAATCCAGATACAACACCTACAACTACAACTACACCCACCAAAATGTCCTTCCTCACCCCCATCCGCGCATCTACCCTCCGCCTCTCCCGCCCTGCCTTTGCCTACACCACCACCACCTCTCCTGCAGCAGCAGCTTTCCACACCAGCATTCCTCGTCCAGGCTTGAAGGAATCGGATCACAGTGAGTCCAGTCCAGTCCATAACGCCCACCAACTCTTCCCAGCCAGAAGTATCCTCTAATATAATTGAAATCAATACCAGACCGCGACGACCTCGCCAACATCTACGAGGCCGAGAAACACGACCAAGTAAAGAGCAGCAAGGAAGGCAAGGCTAAATGGAAGCAGGAAATCGCTAGTGATAGTGAGGCGTCGGTAAGTTTTTCCTCAAGTTATATTGCCAGATTCCTAATAAGAAAAAAAGAGTCACGATGCTAATGTATTTATTTCCATTTGAACAGGTCAAGGCCGATCGCGGCGAAGTAGACAGTGATGATAACAACTTCGGAGCCATGCAGGAACGGACGAAAGGGTTGCCGAATAGGGATGGGCCCGTGAACAAGACTCAATAAATTGTGTTTTACTTCTTACTTAAGGGATGGGTTCTGAGATTGCAATGAAATGAAACTGCTATCCTTTTGTTCATGTTGTGGTCTGTTGTTTTTTCCCGGTCGGGTGGCTGGCTGGCTTACTTACGAGTTGTTGGGATTGTGATATGATGGGTCATTTGCTGTCTATGTACGAAGTACTTCTGAGGGATATATTACTACTTCTATACTATGGTATCAAAAGCAGGAAAATTGTATTTGAGTCTGCTATAGAGTAATTCAAAGGAATGATATATAGTGTATTCGAAACAGATGCCGGGTGGACTGTAAAAGTGTTAAAGCTGCAAACAAATATACCTATTGTAACGCCACAGAATCCCTTCCACCAACCCGATGGCTTAGTAGTATGGACAACTCCAATTCAACGCAAATAACGCCATTTCGCCCCGGGGATCATCATCAACAGAGTGGTAGTGGTAGAAGTAGTAATCCCGTCCCACAACAACAAAGTCATGACAAGAAGTATCATATACGAGAGGGATCACTTGAGCAGGACGATCAGTATGACGAGGACGATGATCAATCCGATAATTGTCATCATGCTCCAATTCTCACTCGCACTTCGCCGAAATTTATCCAGCCGGCGTTTGGCCTTGTCTAACCGACCCTGATGCCGTTCCACATGGCCATCCATGTCATCGAGCAATGCAACATGGCCCTCAAGTTCATCCCCGATCTGAATACTGAGCTGGTGTTGTCGTCCGATGGATTCGCCGAGTCGGTCTAACTGCTCGTCTTGGTCGCGCATGATCTGCTCATGATGATCATAGACCTGCTGGTTGGACATGTCGGATGTGTCGACGCCCTGTGGGGAGGGCGAGTCGCGGTATGGCTGGAAAAGGTTGCGGCGATTGAGATCGTCCTCTTCGGCGGCGTTGTCCATGAAACGAACTGATTTGGAAGAGGGATGTTGCGGGACGGGCTGTTTCAGGTCCGGTGATGACTTCTTGATGTTGGTGAACTCGACGGGATCGTCCTCTGCTGCGGCATCCGAGCCGCGGAATTGGGATGTCAGGTCTCGATACTGGGAGTATAGGTGGTCGAGTTGGTCTCTCATCTCGGTGGCGCTTTCATCGTTGGCTTCTTCTAGTCGTGCGCAGTCGGATTCCACGGCATCGATGCCCTCTTTCAAGGAGTCGAGGGAGCGGGAGATCTCGCCATCTTGGCTATTGGGTTCGAGGTCGAGCGAGATGGCTCGTTGCCGTTCGAGGAGCGATAACTTGATGTGATCGGCAAGGAGCAGGAGTTGTGAAGGGTTTGGCATGGCGGAGAGGGATGTGATAGTGTTTGAATGTGCGTGAGGATGGTATTGGGGGAGAGCCGGATGAGGAGAGAGAGGAGAGGGTGAACAAGGCTGTGAGGTTGTCTTAGCGTCGGTCAAGCCCAGGCAATGCGGAGATGTCGGAACCGCGGCGACTTGCAGATGACAGGGAAGGGAGGGGGAGAAGTACAGTACATCCACGCAGGGACTGCCAGTTGATGGAGCAATGAAGTGGATATTGCTGAAGCCAGAGGACCAGCCCGGGTGGATGGAATGGATACAACCCAGAGGGCCTCGTTCTCGGCAGATCTGCCGCTTCCGCCGCCATCGTCTCCATTTCCCATATCTCGCCGTCATTCATGGTTATCCACATTCATTCCTCTCTCTCTTGCTTTCCCCCGCAATGGCCTCACTTTCCTCACGTCCACCTCCTGCGGCCACCCTCCCCCCTGAATTTTTGTTCTTCTTTTAGTCAAACCTTCGTGTCAGCCACTGTGTAACTTTCTGAGGTACATGGGCGTCTGCTTTGTGCTATTGTTTCATCATCCGACCCCTGTGGCATCTGGACGGTCGGTCCCTTCATTTCTAGACTCACCCCCCTGTGCAGGACTGGATCGATCGGCGCACGAGCCCGTGGCTTGACAATATAAGCTGAACCCTTCCTGCGTGGGAAGGGGGTTTAGAATTATGACATCCATCACCCTCGACGAGTTGCTCGCGATGGAGGCGAACTGCGACCGAGACGAAGTTGTCGACTTGCGCTCACTGGAGTTGGTCTCCAGCTACGATGACCATCTCATGTGCCCGATATGTCACTGCCCTTTCGTTCGCCCCGTGCGCCTTCAGTGCGATCATGTCTTCTGTCAGAAGTGCTTAAATACTGCCATCACTGCGTTCTCGCCCAGTCCGTTTTCCCCCGGTCGAGATGACTTCACCTGTCCTACTTGCCGGACCCCTACGAGGGGTGTCTACCTCAACGTGCCTCGTCTGCTACTCAATATGTGTGATGATATCAAAGTGCGATGTCCTTTTCGGGATGAAGGCTGCGAGGAGATTATACCAAGAGGGCATATTCAGTCTCATGTCGACAAGTATTGTGGCTACAGGCTTATGAAGTGTCCGGATAGCTCTTGCAATAAGAAGACCCGGAAGAAGGACCTCAGCTCTGAGGGTCGGTGCTTGCATGAGCTTCAACGCTGTCTGCGATGCGACGAGTACGTCGCGGAACAAAACTACGAGGTATGGATGTTGCTCCCAAGCCATGTAACATGGCTAATCAAGTCCTGCCACAGGAACATGTCAAGGACCTATGCCCGAGTCTCAAAACAACATGTCCCGACTGCCAGATAAACGTCCTACGAAAATCACTGCGAGAACACATCGACTCCTGTCCCGAGGTTGTCCATCCTTGCGCGGCATCAAAATACGGCTGTCCCGTCAAGGTGAAGCGTGCGGACTTGACGACACACGAACAGACCTGTCCACTGATAGCCATGGGCCCGTATTTTGAAGCCCAGAATGCACGACTCGATTCGCTTGAACTTACTATCCGCCACCTTCAACAGCGGAACGAGATCTTCGAGGACGGAATTTCCAACATCCGATCGACATTAGCCCAGTCGACTCGTACTCTAGCCGAGCAAGACTCTCCGACAAATTCCGACGCCCCTCGTCGACGAGACTCGACTAGCAACCAATCTCAAATCGACAGCTCCAACCTCTATACCGCCACTACAACGAACTACCTGCTCTCTCTCCATGAATCTCTCCGCGAGGAGGTTGGACAGCTCTCCAACGCCATCACGGATCTAGACGCCCGCGCTAGCATGGCTCTCATGAATGAATGTCTTCGCTTAAAAGAAGACATGGCGCACACCAACGCAGCCGTGGGCAGCATTCGCATGCAGGTGCAATGGCTCTTGAACCCCCGTCTGCATCAGGGCCAGCGAGCAGGTGCACGTCCAACTAACGCCAATGGCAGTAGCAACCCTGCGTCTGCCTCAGGACCAAGTAGCGCCGCTGGCCCGTCTACTGCTTTTCTCCGGCCTCGGAGACTCAGCGATAGCGGACGAGAGGGGACCAAACTATGATAGACGACATTCGTCCCTTACATTGGTGCCATGTAAAAGGGTAACGGCGTTTGTTACTTTGACTCTTTCCTTCTCGCTATCCACTTGGTTGCCCAAATACATGTGGTTAATGATCGGTGCTTGGCGAATACATGGTTGCGACATGATGTGAAATGATATCCTTTGCTTTGTTCTTTGCCCTGGTCCGGTTCTGGTTATTCTTCTCTTTCATACCTGCAAGTGCAGGTTATATGTGGTGTGGCTAAATGCCTTTATGTGCACACAACTACAGAACTGCGATATATCTCATCATGATGCACCCTTGCCATGTATGTTGTTGCACTGTACATATGTTTTCAGTTCTGAATTGTATATACTAGACATTCCGGGTGTCTCAAATCAATACTTCAATACAATCTACCCAATATCCACTAGTAGCATGCTGAATATCTACCATTACGGACCGTCATACCAATACCAACAAACATAATCCCCTCTACTTAGTCCTCCCCACCACCTAAAGCACCATGCGGACGCAAACCATTATTATATATTCAAATATATATACTAAGATAATTATAATTCATACAATTAGATAATTTCCGAATGTGATTCAGTCCAGCGGAAAGATATCCCTCGACTTTCAATACACGCACTCAATTGTACTTACTTCCTTACTATGTATGCGCTTACTATGTATGGCCTCCAAAGTTAAAAGATCTTCCCTTCTCAGCCACTCCAAAGGTTCATAATCATATCATAGAAAAACACTATCACCGAACTAGCCCGGCTAGCTCAATCGGTAGAGCGTGAGACTCTTAATCTCAAGGCTGCGGGTTCGAGCCCCGCGTTGGGCTTTCTTTTTTTGCTTTTTTCCCTCCTTGCCCCACTAGATGTTGAATACTACTTACTATTAATTAATTACTTACTACTTAATACTTTTAAGTAAACTAAATGCTGGGAAACGAACTGATCTTCCGTCTTCTTTCAGCGATAGCGGAGGACTGAGTATGGTAAATAACTTAATTAACTAGTAAGGTTTGTTCGTGTGTAGGAACATAGTATATATAACATTTTCTTTTATGTAGTATGTAATGAGGATTGTTCTTGCTATAAGGGGACAGTTTCAGTTACTGGTATGAATCAGCTGAAGGGCGTGTTAAGGATCTAGATGCTACATGTCTACGTCAGGAGAATGCTTCCGAGAGAGGCATCAATCATATCAGTCTATTGCTTGCTAAAATAAGTAGTACACTTGCTAGCCTAGCGATTCATCAATAATTCTCCCCATAGTAGTCCTGACTATGTCCGTTCCCACGTCCATAACTGGAATAAGAACTGTACGACTGTTCCTCGTAACCTCCAGGCGGGCCCGGAGGAGGAGGGGTGCGACCAGGTGGTGGGTAATGATGGTGGTGACTATGATGATGCTCTCCATGGTGCCTCCGCTGACTTCCATTGTATTCATCATAGCCGCCATAGCTGTCTAAGCCAGATGGGGGAGGAGGGGCTGGTTGGTAAGATTGCTCCTGGCTGTGATGGTACTGACTCTGGCTTTGACTCTGGTACTGGTGCTGGTAGCTGCTGTACTCATAATGCGAGGACTGATGATGCGTGGTATATTGAGACTCCACGCGAGATTCATACTGAGTTGGGTTCTCGACTTCTTCAGTCTCGCCTCTTGTGCCTCCACCTACCATCAGATTGGAGAAGGCGCTGTTCAACTTGTTGAGATTGGAGATCCCCGGGATGGGAAGGCTGGATAGCTTGTCCCAGGGGAGAGGAGAAGAGCCTTGCTGCTGCTGCTGCTGAGGCGGACGCTGCTGCTGAGATCCGTGGCTGTGTCCTGCAGCACCAAATCCTCCTCCACCGTGTGAGTGTGAATGGCCCCCTTCCTCGCCGGTGCTGTTCTTTCCCTGTCTTACTCCCTCAGCGCTGAGAACATCGTTCAGATCAGCACCACGGTCCGGTCTGGAGTCAACCCAGGCCTGCACGGCTTTGAACATTGTGCGGTGGGCTTCGTTGTTCATGTTGCGCAGAGCCGGGTGGTGGAACACCTTCAGACAGTCCTCCAATACCTGATCATCAGAGACGTCCAGGTTCTGCCAAGCGTACAGAACCCGAGGTGCGACGTACTTAAGAATAGCGGAGGCAACATGACCGGCTGGCTCATTGAGAATGTTGGAGAAGTGATCCTTGGAGAGTAGCGAATGGGTAGGATCAGTGCAGTTGGGGTCAGTCCACGGCTCATACTGATGCTTCCCGGAGGCATCAATCACACCGGAAGATCCAGCTTGCAAAGACTTGGAAGCGGCATTGATGAGGGGGCGGATGAACGGTGCCAGCAGAGACATAACGAAGACGGTCAACGTCTCAGTGATCTTCTCAACGATTGTCTCCAAGCCAGGGATCTTCTCGATGATCGATGCCAGCTTGCGGACAACTTTGTCTCTGAATTCTAGGATGGGATAGATCTGAGCAATGGTCTTGCTGGGATCAAAATCCTGTAGAGCTGATCCGGACTGGGAGCCCTCTCCAGGTCTTTCATTCTCGTTAGCCCGGTAAGTTGGGGCCTCGTCATCGAATCCTCGACTACGCGGAGCACTGTAGTCATCAACCTCCCTAGAGACACCGCGGGTAGTGTAACCAGAACGAGCACCATAAGAGCGGTTCGCAGACTCCTGAGCTTCAGAGCGACGCTTGAGCTCCTCCGCCTCCTCCACCAGATCCTTTGTCCCGGGGATGTTGCCCAGAAGACCAGTAAAAGCACCAAGAGACCCACCAGAGGAGTTTGCCTCCGCATCTCCGAGCGCAATGTCCATCTCGTTGACCTCCGACTGAGTAAAGTGATCGTTGGCTTCTCCCAGCACAGAGTGAAAGAAATCAACCATACCAAACGTTCCAGTCACAAGCGGAAACACATGGTGGCCGCGGATATTCATCTGGGTGTCCACACCGGTGTGAGGGAAGACATTGCGAAAACCCATCTCACGAAGCGCAAGCTCAATATAGTTGGTATGCGCTGCGAAATCCTCCAACGTATGGAGACCCTGGCCCAGGCACCGAAGCGCTTCGCAGAGATCTTCCTCGTTTCCTTTCTTGCTTCCATGGGTATATGTGCGTCCGTAATGAATGCTGCGAGCCAAGCTATACTTGATGTAAGCGGCGCTGGTAGCCCATCCGCCCTCCTCGTTCGCAATGTAGTTCTTCATTCCAGTTTCGGGGTCGATATCCAGCTCGACCTGGCGCACAGGGCCCCGCAGTCGTTGATCGAACTCGCGAGCATCCTGATTATCGGCATAATCCTTAGGGTTACTGCGCAGATAAGATCATAAGCATACATTCAACAAAACATGAAAGATCGGAGAACGACATACTCAATATGCTCCTCAGGACGATAAACACCCAACCTCTCCGAAGTGACCTCAAACTCAGCCGTCGCATAGCCAAATGTCATGAAGGACAGAATCCAGACCAGAATGCGAATAGTCTCAGCCGGGAGACTCTTCAGCGTACCGACGTCCATTGCTTGTGAGCTAACAGCAAGGTATCAATCAGCATTGGTTACCATACAATAAGGGCGGAAATACTCACTAATCGCGCAACCAGTTACCAAAGTACACGCGCTTGACCATCATGGAGGTCCACTTGTGGCCTTTGATGAAAGCGATGGTCTTGAGCATGTCCTCGATATCTCCATGGCGCCAGTTCTTGCCTTCAACGGCGGAAATAGAAGCGATGTCTGCGCATATTAGCAAGTTGATGATGTATACTAATTCAAGCAGGTATAAGCATACTTCCAGCTCCAAAAGCCCAGGCCTGGGTGGGGAGGACAACAAGCAGCAGACCCAGAACGAGCAGGGCGTGAGTGCCCAGACTCATTCGCGGAGCCATAGCTGTAGGTAGTGTTCTGCGGGTGATGCAGGAGAAAGTAATGACAGCAAAGAGTCTAGAAGAACGACAGGCTGCAGAGGTGGGAGACGTGCATGCAGAAGCGAAGGAGGGGGGGTAGATAGCAAAAAGAAAAAAAGCCGAGAGTTATCTTATCTGCAGAATCAACAGACAGAAGGAGCTAAGCTGCTAGCTGCTAGTTACTAGTTGGACAAAGACAAAGCGGGCCAAGTTGGGAGAAGTCCAAACGGCACGAGAGCGAGGGGTACGTAGTCCGTTAGTAGTGATTTGATGAACTTGTGTGTCATCGATCTGCAACCGGTGACCAAGCTAGAACTAGATTGATACAAAGTAGATCTAAAGAGGAGGAGGAGGGGAAGGAAAGACCCTGAAATGCCCCGCCATCGAGTCAGTGGAAGACCGGATCATTGCGATGATGATATGATTTGGTCGACGGTGGCTTAGAGGCTGTCAGCTCGGCTGTGATGAAGCCCTGCCACCTTTTCAGATGACACTTGCCAGCTGGAAAATTCGCATACGATAAATACAAGCGAGGTCGTTTGTTTTTCTTTTCCGTAATATTGCGGTTTCAGTGGGAGCCATGGGCGTTGTCGGTGGCTTTGCTTGGCATTACTCCATCTGACCATTGTTGATATGGTTTTCTCAACGGAGATGAGGTAGATTTTCGTATCTACAATCATCAACACATACAGTAGATATTAAAAAACAGCCACAACACTACTACCTTTCCCCAGCATACATAAAATACTTATGACTGTATCAGTCTGCGATCTCTCATCCGCAGTCACCGCAGTCACCGCTAACAATCGGAACGGGACTGCCAAGTGAAGACATTCGTCATATGGTCCTTGCTCTGTTGATCGTCATTCTCGGATGTTGGGAAAGTGGGCCCTTTTACCAGCCACTGGATTGGTTGTGTGAATTGTTTCGGTAGGCGCTGAATGTGTAATTTTCATCAGTCATCGTGACTGAAATATCCGGAGAGCAATCAATGAAAGCGAAGCATTGTGTATGACATTACTGTTTATTTAGCCAACAAAATATACTATATACAACTTTGTATATTAGTAACCACTAGTCAATCATACAATGTAACCATGGAATGAAAGGTCAGTGCAGCTTACTGTCACTAAATTTCCCCCCCGCCCTGATGACTGATCGATCAGGGATTATTTAATTTGTGCCCGCCGCGGGGTAATCAATCAATCAGCGCCGGACTTGAACCCATTACTCAGACTTACCCCAATAACACTAGCTACAAGTACTAGTTAACACAACAGTGATTTCTTCAATGCTTATCAGACCGCAAAAGTGAACAAGTGGAAGGGTAACATGTGGCTGACAGACAAGGTAGCATCGCGTATACCACATTGTTGTGTAATGGGAACAACATCCCCCTTATACAGTAGTCAATCACCAGTAATAGAAGACAACTTATTTAAACCATTGTCCCAATTTCAATTCCATTATCTGTTGTAGTTCACATCCAGTGGAACAATCTCTTCTTCCCCGCCTAACTTATCTCCCCGCCATCACCCCGACATAACCACCTCACCTCAACCACCACCCCCAATCCAACCCACCACCAAAACAACAATGACCTCCACCCCCCACCTCACAGCCCTCCAACGCGACGGCTTCGTAGTAATCCCCTCGCTCCTCACTGCGGACGAAATCGCCCACTACCGCACCATAGCCACGCACGCGACCACACTCACGCGGACCGGAAAATGGCCACACTTCCGCACAGTACCGAAGCAATTCCCACCATGGCCGACGACCCCTCCTCCGGCCTCCGAAGGCGGAATCTGGGGTGTGCAGCACCTCTTGCACCCGGAGATGCCCGGACGGAGTGAATTCGCCAAGTTCTATTTTTCCGAGAAGGTGCTTGCCGTGGCGGAGGAACTACTGGGATTGACATCAACCATCAACACCAACGGCAACACCAACGGTGATACTCCCGAACCCTTGGTAATGGAACTCTTCAACCTCCTCGTCGCGCCGGAGACCAAAGACTTCGAGCTGCGTTGGCACCGCGACGATATCCCCGAGACTGCAACCCCGGAGGAAGAATTGAAGATGCTGCAGGATAAGAGTCCGAATGGGAAACAGTCGCATGCGCAGTATAATCTGGCGTTGTGTGAGGATTCGTCCTTGATTGTGATTCCGGGGTCGCATAGACGGGTGCGCACGGAAGTGGAGCGCAATGCGGCGCCGTATGAGCCGGGGTTGCCTGGGCAGTTGGTTGTCCAGTTGAAGCCTGGGGATGCGGTGTTTTATGATAGTAATATTTTGCATCGCGGGGTGTACAAGTGTAAGGAGGAGGGTGGGGAGGAGACGAGGCTGACGTTGCATGGGAGTTTGGGGTTGAATGCTCCGTCTGAGGATAAGAAGGTGAGAGCTACGGCGGTGTTGCAGCATGGGGTTGGGGCTTGGGTGCATCGCGAGGATGCGGCTTTTGGGATTGGGGAGAGGCCGGAGAAGATGCGTGCTAATTTGGTGGCCATGGGGAGTGGGGAGGGGGTTGGGTATTCTTTGCAGGGTTGAGAGGGTGCAATTGGGGGTGGGTGTTTTGTAATTAAGGAGGAAGGATGTGGATGTAAGGACATTGTGTCCCACCGAAACTTCTATTCATTAAGCATGCATATGCATCGAGCTCGAATATCAAGAACATTCATATATATGCCCAGAAAGAGGGTATCGTCATAAAGAAGAATAATGTACCCGCCGCTATTTTGACGCCAAAAATGTAAAAGAGTAGAGGCATAAAGCATGTCACGGCCGTCACATAGTCTAATCGTATCGTCATCATCCGTCTAATGGTCGCTGTCCATACACATAATGGAAGAATATGTAGATATGATAGGTGGAACTTGCAAGCTCCGCATGTACCTTCTTCACGAAGGCTTGGGCTTCCTCATAGGTGTATCCCAGGACACGAGTCCAGAGTGCTAGCGAGTATGGCTCGACCGAGTCATAAAGAATCAGTTTCCCCACTCGTCCGATCTCCTTCAGACGAGGGGACTTTGGCCACGTGCCTACAGGGCACTACTTCAATTAGCAGAATCCAAAGCCGAAAGAATTGCAAAGACTGACCTTGTAGATATCGTCCACAACGTTGACGAAACCAGCGCGTTGCATGTAACCCTTCACTTCAGGAGCAATGTTCATGCGCCTCCCAAATTTCGTACTCGACTCTTCCAGCTTCTGCTGCAGCTCCCTTACCATAACAGCATCTTTGCAGGTTCCGTCATCGGAATGCACCCAGGTCTCCGATTCTTGAATTTCGACCCAGCCGCCGGGCTTCACATTCTCGTAAGCCTGACGAAGGAGCTGGCCCCAGTCGGCGATACTGCCACCCAAGCTGCGAGCATGGATATAGTCGAAGGGCTCATTGCCGATGTAGGCCCAATCACTTTCCGCGTCGTCCACGAGAAAGCTGCAGTTTGGCGGTGCCCACTTGGGTTGAATCGGACTCAGGTCGGTGCCCACGATCTCCGCATTAGGAAAGTCTTCGGCCATTTCCAGCGCCCAGATGCCCGTCCCAGTGCCTATATCCAAGATGCGCTGGGGTTCGCCTATCGGCGCGCGATACAAATCACCCCCCAAGAGGAGCTTGAAGGCATGATGCATTAATGTGAGGCGATCCTGCTCTTCTTCGTCGTTGGGCATGGGATATTGCCCATAGCGGTAGGCGTGATAGCGGCGGCCATTTTCGTAACAGTAGTCTCGTACGGATGACGTTATTGAAATATTGGATTCGACGATGGATTGCTCATCTATGAGGGAGTCTTCGTCGCTTGTCTGTAGGAGTCAGTTTAATGACCGCATTAAGCATAGAACTCTGAAGTAGTAGGTGCTCTTTGGTGATTGCAATACAATCAAATCACAACTCCGCAAGCATCGCGTGAGATTGTTCAATACCTCTCAGGCGAAGCGCTGAGTGGCTGCATAAACAACCGGAGATGCACGCAAAAAAAAACAGAAAACACATAGATTTAAGTATGATTGTCGGAAATAAGGGGATGTCTTACATCTACCTGGATGTGTTCCTCCGAATCTGGCTGTGGCATGTTTGACTTGACGGGCGGAGACAATGCGGGAGGAGGGAGGGGAATGCAGTGAGGAGAGAGTGAAAGAGAGGGAGACGAATAAGTGGGATCTTCAAGAGATGGCACCCGCAGCTGAGAGCTTACAACGGGGAACTTCGATAGTTAGCGAAAGAGAAGAAAGTTGTAATTAAGTAGACTAATAAATAAGTGACGGAGTAAGAAGTGGGAAAAAGAAGCAGAGCAGAGGTAGAGCAAGAGCAGAACAGAACAGCAATTAACTCCACTAGTAAGAGCCCGAGAGAAAGAGAGCTTTGGGAAATGGCTAATTGACTAGTCAACTACTACTACAAGATAGGATAACTAAACTTCCAGGTAAGATACGGGTAACTGCGGCACGGACAGGGGGAGGCGGTCCCGGGGAACAGGCCCTCGGGTCGGTGAGCACACAATATTGAAGGTAAGTAAGTAAGTAGCTGAAGGCTACTTACTAGCTTGGTGCCAGGGCTCTGGGTCGGGGTTGACGCCCGGTATTGCTTGGTATCGTCAAGTCGAGTTTTCAATTCCCGTCTTGTTGGTAACCATCCACTCCTTCTTTCTATTGGTCGGGTCTTTTCCGGACAGGCCATCCATCATATTAACAGTAACCATGGAAAATGGATCAACTTTTTCCTTACTAAAAATGTATCTACTTTTAACTACCTAACTCTCTTTTCTTGCGTAGTTAGCCCATCCATAGCATAGTTGAATGCTTTCCACAGATTGGTCCAGACAGCCCGCAGTTGCTACTTACTAGTGTATGCCCTAAAAGAATTTGGAATTGATCCTCTCCCAATCCCCTCACTCTGGTTCCACGCTAGTTGGGATCTCAGCTGCGTAGTTTATGTAACCTCAGACAATTTTTCTCCGCACGCTTGGGCTGTGGCTGTTGCTACTACTTTGTGGCTAACTTTACCACAGAAAAAGACAAACAACTTTCAAATAATATGTAAATTAGAGGATGCCAAACACTTCCATACTATACATCATTGATAGATAAAATCAGAATATTAAACCCATCAATGATCCTGACTTCTATACTCTGTAGAGAAAGACAGTAAGGCTGTCCAGCCAAGCGCAGCCCCAGCGCAGCCCCGCTCCCCCGTGACGGCTGGTCCCGTTTCGGGATCCCAATCACGCCAGTTGATCAGCCACTTCATCGCATGCAGCTACTACTACTTACTTTCTATCTATCTAGACTAGGTAAATAAGTGAACCAACTAAGTGCTGATGCTCTGGGTCAGGTCTTTTCATCCTAGATACTACTTAGCTAGTCACGATTGGTATCTCCACTAACGATAGTTTGCGCCAAAATGGTATGATTAATATAATATGCCTAACAGTGAACTAAGCGAGAAGATTGTAAAGCCGAACCTTCTACTACTTACAGTGCTAACTAAATCTGAGGGCAAAATAGCCGAGGACAGAAAGACACACAAACCCCAATACTTACTACCTACTATGCGATAATTTGGTCCAATACTAAGTACCTACTAGATAGTCCTTATCTAACTCAACAGTAAAAATCCCTCCTGCGGTGAAGCCTCTCTCAACTCTCGACCCACAAAAAAAATGACTGACAATGTGCCCGCCATTCCTTAGTCCAACACTCCTATCTAACAACAACTGGTTCATGAACAATTAATCAATCCTTTCAAGTAATGTGATATGTGATAGGTGTGTACTTGGGGGGCACGTAATCAATCACAGGCCTAACTACCTGCAACGCTATATCGACTTTTTATGGGGCAACAGACGCCTGGATCACTGGGTGGGCTATCTAGTACTTAGTTTAGTGTGTGCACTAGGGATATTTCTTCCTGCAGGAAGCATCATCGTTCGACTACAACCACCACCCACCCCTCCCCCCTCAAGACCAAGCCCGAAGGAGTAAATGCATGACCGTCGGGATGATCCGGACACCCGGCTACGTGTTGGTTTGTTGTCAGCTGCAGGTGTCCAGCTAACTGACTAACTGACTAGACTAACTGTCAGGTGAAACACTAGAGGAAAGGTGCATGGCGCCGTTGACGTTTCTTGGGTCGGGTCGGACAGTTTTTGACTACTACTAGATGTGGTCCTACGGAATTGCTGGATCAAAGCGCGCTGTCTTATCAGCACTAGCCGGATTGATTGCGATCATTGATGTACCGCTTGTTCATACAATCATTAGATGTACCTATGCGAGCATATAACAGGTTTCATATGTGATTCTCAGCATCGGCTGAGGGGGCATAAACAGAACATGAAAGGAAGAAAAGATAATGTTTGTCCATAAAATGGTATCACCCTGTCGACAGCTGCCAAGCCGGATCAGTTCAGACTTTGCAGCTTCTCCTGCTCGGCCGGAGTCAAGGCTGCATAGAGCTGCTGGAACTCAGGCTTAGTGGCTGCTTCACGGAAAAAGTTCAACAGGAAGGCCTGCGTTTCGTCGTCGCGTCTGCGTACCCCGAACACACTTTCCGATCCGCCCTCGCCGAATGCCATCAGCTCTTGCTTGGTGACACCCAGATTGAGGTCAAGGGTGTTGCCGGGCATATCTTCCCATTCGTCGTCATCATCGCTACCTTCTTCCTCCAGAGCAGCCGCCGTGGCCGGATCGATTTCCTTGTTGCCGGATGCAGCAGCCAGCTCCTCAACAAGGACCTTGATAATCTTCAAGGGAGCCGTCACTGTAGTGTACCGGTCAGGGTTGTTGCGGGTCTGGGATCGCGTCTTGATACGGCCAGTGTCCTGGATGATGAGATCACCCTTGACCTGCACCTCGGACAAGCGAGGGTCTCCCAGACTGTACAGCGTTGCTAGTGCAATGATGTTCTGTTTGATTTCATCATAACCAGCAAAGTTGACCGAGTTCTCGAGCCACTTGCTCAGCACTATGGGAAGTCCACTCTGGCCGCCAATGTCGACTTGCGCAAGGAAGTCCACAACCTCGCGTGCGCTGATCAGAGTGAGACGTGCGAAGACAAGGATCAAACTCTGGATAAACTGAGCCTGCTCCGCAGTAGCCAGTCGTTGGGCCACAGCACGGAGAAGCTGCGGTAGATAAGGACCGAGACGTTCGGAGCCTGCCTTTTCCACCAACTCCGCAGCCAATTGTCCAACCTCTGTCGCCGCATTGTCATCGACCGACGGTCCGAGCAAGCGGTCAATAATGATCAAGGCAACTTCAGTGGCTTCTTTACCGCTCTGCGGGTCTCTCCAGGCGACAAACTGGTTGAAGTCATGAGAGAGCATATGGCGGACGGCTTCTGTAGCCGGACGGATCAGCTCCGCGTCGGACGAATCGAGCAGCAGGCGGTTCAACTTCGGCATGACCGTCTCCACGAAGCCGGCCGGCAAAGGCTCCAATGCCCCTTCAGCAAGAGCACGGATCAGGTCCGCAGCGAAATTAGTCAAAGCATTTTCCTGTGTGAGGTTGCCGACGTCGATGGCCCCGGTTAGGGAAGGGAGAACCTTCTCGCATAGTCGAACGAAAGCCTCTTCCCCGTTCTCGGCGACAGCTTCAACTATGTCCTCGAATGCTTCCGTGACGATCATCGTCAACTGGAAATTGGTGGCTCCGCTGCTGGCAACACTGAACAGTAGATCAATGGCGCTCGACGACAGAACGACAGTCGGGTGGACCATGATGGTATCGCGGAGCGTCTCAGCAATGGTAACCTTCAAGTCTTCACCCTCTGACTGGTCAGAAAGGTCATGTGCGGAAACGAACTGCGACAGAGCTGAAACAATGGCAACTTGAAGAGGGACCGTAGCACTGGAAGGAAGCGAGGGCATAAGATCCTGCAGTGCCCGAATACAAGCGACCCTGACTACTTCAGATTCATCTTCGGTGATTGCTTTGATGGTAGCCTCGAGGTAAGACGCAGCCGTTTGCTGGAAGGAGTCATCGGCGACCTGGCACAGGACTCCGGCAATGAGGTAGCCCCGCGCTCTCAAAAGATCTTCTGGTTGCTGGATGGCATACTGAATGAAGTTACTGATTCCATTAGCCGAGCCAGCAGGTATACCTTGCGAAACTTCGTTGAAGTCCCGGAGGAGCTGATTGAGAATGTAGAGGGCTGATTCTTTCAATTTCCACCTTCACGGAGCGGTTAGTCTTCGTTTGAAGCGCCAGGAAGAGAATTCAACTTACGTAGAGGACGCATCGGAGAACACAGTGTTCAGGTACGCGTGTAGTCCCTCAACTGTCATGCTCTTGAGCCATTCACCAAGCTTGATTACCAGATCTCCACTGCAAGTACGGGGCGTGTAGTTGGCAGTAACCGATGTCTCCTCCGAAAGGAACAGAGAGACATCGATATCCCATAGACCTTCCTCTTCTGATGTGATTTGAGCATAAGAGGCGACCAGCTTCATGATTTCGGGAAGCCAACTTGTTGTTGCCGCCGACTGCCCAGCATTCTGTAGCTGCTGTTGAAGCTCGGCCTTGACCGGCGGTGCCTTCAGAAGCGTCTGGATCAGATCGAGTTCCTCCAGAACCAAGAAGTCCAAAGTATACGGGAGTCCGTCGACATCCTCCATACGGCCCTGTCTCTCATCTTCGATGTAGAACTCATGATAAGCAGACTGTATGTTGGATAGCTCTGTCCAGATAGTGGAAAAGTATACCGGGCTTTGAGCTGTCAAGAGACCCGGGAATACCATGCGAATTTTCATCAAGGTCTAACAGATCAGCGATTAGCGTGAATCAGCAAAAGGGGGCAGAATGGCGATGTACCTTGACTACTTGCAACTTCAGACCAATCACACCTCTCCACTTGGAGGGCACCTCAGCGTCTTTAGATTCTTCCTGCGCACTAGGAGCTTGTGGTAGGGGTGCCTTCAGGGTAGAGAGAAAGAATGGAGACCAGCCACCAAGTACTTCGTCCATGAACTGTTTGACAGCCGCCTTGTGTTGCTCGAGGACCATCTCCAATGTGTCAAAGCAGGCCCGGAAAACTGCGACAGCCAAGGCCCTCAACATCGGCTTTCTCGACTCATTGGTAGCGACGTTGTAGAGGCTAGTGACAAGATCCCGAGCAACATTGAAGAACTGTTCCTCACTGAACCCAGTGTCCACCAAATCCAACAGGACCTTCAGTGCACCGTGAAGCGCACTGGCGGTGCTGTTCCCATCGTTTATAATGTGAAGCAGTGAGGGCAGAAGTTCTGGCCACTGCTCGGGAAAGTCGGCGCTGGCGATCTTGCTCACAGCATAACTGGCAGACGACTTGACCTTGCGCTCGGGAGTTTCGGTAATGGTAGCTAAGTCCAGCAGCGCCCGTCGAAGCTGAGCCTTGTTTGCATCGCTAACCAGGACCTGGCCTTTAAATTCATCGAGAACTGGGGACCAGGATGCGGCAATGAAGGTCCGAAGAACAGAAAGGGCAGACTGGCGGAGGTTGGTAGGAACGGAATCGTGAGAGGCTATGGCCGCAAGTGATAGGGGGAAAGTCTCGTTGGGATAAAGGCGTAGAAGCTGGAGCTCAGCGGACTTTCTAGTATCGGAGACCGGCGACTGGGTGTCTGCCAGCAATGTCAGGAGCTCTTGCTCCATGTTGATAAGGAAACGTAGGTGAGGAGACGGAAGAGGGTCGATAGGAGTATAGTCAAGAGTTGTCAAACAAAGGGCCGGATCTGGATTCAAGCCCAATCTTTGAAATCCTGGCGTTTCAGATCACAACAGATGGCTCCGTCAAACCACGCTATCGGGAACAGGAGGATCCAGGTAGATGGCTCAAAATCAATATCAATCGCGAAATGTCGCGTCGTGGAGGGGCAGAAGACGAGCGGGAAAAGGGAGGCGGTGAGGGGTAGAATTTCCCCCAAATCAATTACCAGTTTGGTTTGGTTTGGGAAGTCCCGCCGAGATAGGTGGGCAACTGAGACAATCAACTAACTATAGGTAAATAGGTAAATTATTAGCGTTTGCTGTCAACCAGACTACGAGCTCTCTCACATCCTTATCCAGCTATGGTTATAGTGTTCTGTACTGTCTTTAGATTGTCTATCATCAGCATCGTATATCTTTCAGCCAGCCTTACTTATCATAGACATCATGTCCCAGGACAATGGCGGCCAAGCTCTACCGCATATCTTCCCTTATTTCTGGCTGCCAGCAATAGAAGAACGACATAACGTCTGAACTGCAAGACACGAGAGAGTAATTCATACTACCAGGAGTCTCCAGTATCCCTGTGTCCTGTTTTCCGACTCACGTCACTGATCATCGGAGAATAAATAGCCTAAAGCCTACAAGCAACGTCTGAGCATCACCTCCCAACGTCTCTGTACTTTCCTCAAACTATCCGGGCCTGAACATCATGGAAACCAGGGATGATAATACGGTATTCCTTACAGAATACATGAGAAACCAATGTATTGCAATACGGTTTGACTGAAGTTTGTTATGCGCGTACGCAGACAAGCTGAACAAAGATTTAGACATTCTCAAGCAGCCACATTCAATAGTCTGACAGCCCCCGGTCTCAAACGATAGATGGACTTTGGATAACCTCCGAGACCGGCGACTTGGTCGAACAAAGTACATGCGATGGCGGGTGTCTTGCTGGCTCCTACATTATCCGGTAGAGACTTCCAAGAGGAAGATACAGCCAATACAAAGGTCCGCCTGATTAGCGGCCCAATTAAGGAGGAGGAAAAGTAGGTGCTGTGCCCACTGAGGTCATGAGCGATCAATGGCAGGTAATCGGATCTTAGTGGTCAACACAGGGTGGGTAGATCTGGCTCGCACGTTATTAGCAGATGTGCTCGTTATTATGCCCAATACATATCACTCTAGGTTGTAAATGGTGACCAGGGATTGGAAATGATGACAGTGAAGTCTAGCGGTTCGAGCCTCTTGAACCAAGAAGCAGCAATACCTAGCTAGTTATGAAGGAGCCAGGACTGAATCAGAGGCGGCATTCTTGTCTCAGTTGCTGATCTGCCTAGGTCGAAGTTTTCTGTGGAGAAGATCTGGCTTCAATCCAATCATAGAAGGAGGAAAGAAAATCCCTTGGATCGTTGTAAATCCATTCTGGGGCCACTTATGGAGAGTGTGATGATGTAGAGAAGCAATAGATTTTATTCTTCTGGGTTCCTGCACTGTACTTTTGCTCCAGCCGCGTATTTGTAGCCCATTTTCTCCCCAGGCTCCATATGTGCCTAGTGGGCAAATGTATGTTTTATGTACTATGTATCATCGACTGTGCTCCGTACAGCGGTGCAGCAAACTTTGGGTAGTGATCACCGGGGTAGCTAGGTAAGTGGCGTAGATGGGGACTCGATGCATTTCTGAAAAGGATGACAGGAAGGAATTGGAAGGGGGGAAGTTGTGAGTCGATCATAGTGGGGTTGATGAGGATAAACCGGCAACTCTGATTATCTAACGCCAGCTGAGGGGCGGCACCGCCCAAAGAAGAAAAGTACGTTATGGTGTTGTTTGAAATGTACTCCCGGTCGCTGTATGGAGTATGTTATGTCCATACATACTCTTACACCATTACTCATTGAAAGATCGGATACCATACAGTCAAAAGTAGCCTCGGGTATTGTATTTAAATGGATCAACGAGGAACAACCTAGAAGGCGATCGCGTGTGCTAGAGCAATTGTGTCGAGATATTCTAATAATAATCAGGGATCGGGTAATAATGCGAACTGGCGACCTTCAGGGCCATGCATAAGACCCGGAATCCGCAGCAGGAGGGGTAAGCTCAAGATAGCTCTCGTATCGCACGCACTAAGCATTCTTCAGCTTCTCCTCAAGACATTCCGACGGCGAAGGACGATGTTATGACCCTAAGTAGGAGGCCCTCTGTATGCTATCATCGACCTCTGTGAAGGTATAATATAACTAACTGTTCGGCCGGGAGGAACAACCCAGCAGCAATACATGCAACAACTGCAGACGGAGTAGATAAATTGAAATGTCATAGTCAAATAGCTAATAATTACTCCGGACTATATTAACCAACTGGTCAACTAGGTAAAACTGATTGACCTAATTAAACCCCGGAGCAAGCCAGATTTTTGATTGATTGAACCTTGGAAACCTTGGGCTACATACAGGGGAAACAGAGTAGTTGTTCCGGCTTTGTAGTAAGATTTCTGGGACGACTAGCTGTTTTAACTTTCGTTCCTTTTAATCTCTCGCGAATCCTGACTAATTATCATTTGATGCTGCTCCTGTCTTCTACCCCGGTCACCTACGTGTCGATTCAAGTTTGATTTCATGATGATCGGCTCAGTGAACTGGAGTCAGTCATCCCACTACTGACAAGTCTGGGTCTTGTCGTCTTGTACTGGCGTGGACAATACCAATACGGCGCAGATGCTTACTTACATACCGTCATACATACTGTCATACTTTGCCCAGCGATAATCTTTCAATCCTTCCTTTGCTTTTTTGTCCCTCTTTGCCAACAGAGTGCCTTCCATGAGGTTTGCATTAAGCTACACAGTGCTTGCACGGTGTGGGCTTCTTACTTATCTCGGGAAGTGTGTAGTCGTAGTGCATCATGGCCAAATTCTTTGCCATTCTACCTACATCCTCTGTTTCGCCCCCAAGCTGCGCCTGAGGTACCCCTTTGCGTCACTTGATCCCCTCGGCTAGCATCAACCCCCACCGAGAACTAGAGAACTAGGATGTAGGCAGGCAGAGTCTTGGAGGGGAGGAATGTATGAGTTGTAGTTTAGTAGAAGGTAAGCAGGCAGCCTTGGGAAGTGGGTGGAAACCAGACGTAGGCATACATCGGGCGAGGAAGGGAGCCCGTACGTGCGTTGCCTTTTTCCCACGACCAGCAGCAGCAGTATGATGATTGCTGCATGGCATCCACACCCATGACGCAACCACGTGACGGGCTGGGAACCGTGACTTGGGCGCCTTTTACCTGGACGACTCGTCGCCCGACAAGCCTTCCCCTCCGAAGGACTGCCTGCCCGCGACTCTCTCGCTCTGCTCTCTTTCTCTCTCTCTTCTCTCTCTTTCCCTCTCTTTTCCTCTTTTCATATTTCTGTGCTTTGCCGGCGCCTTCTGCTCGCTCTCTTTGCAAAATCTCCCTCTCTACTTTTAGTTCTGGGACCTGAGTGGGCTTCCCTGGTCGAAACGGCCTTTTCCCAATCACAACCAGCTCAAGCCAGCAGCCCACTTCTCCCTTCCCACGCCGCCCCCCCTCAAAGGGTTGGTTTCCTATCGTCTGCCGTCCCTCCTCTCCCTAGACGCAGAGAGCAAGGAATTAAAAAAAAAAAAAGACATAATTTTTTTCTTCTTTAGCCAAGTAATATTTTTTTTCTCTCTTATTTAAAAAAAAGTTTTTTTTTTACCAGGAACAAAAACTTCCGAGGGAGAGGGGAGAGCCAAAGAGGAAAATACTAAAACGGGAACTCCAACCAGGGAAGAAAAAAGGGAAAAAAAAAGGAAATTTCCATCAGCAAAGCAAAGCAGCAAAAGCAGCAACATCGTCGTCGCTGTCGTTATCGTCAAGCCAGAACTCTTCTCTCCTTAATCCTATCCCAGATCTCGTTCACGCCGGTTGTCACGATCTCAACGACTCCATCCATGCTCTGAGGTCTGCTTGTTTCGTCTCGTCCACCCAACGTATGTTTTAATTCCGAAGTTCTTTCCTTACTTTTCGAACCCCAATCCACTCACTCACTCACTCACCCCTCCCCTCCTCACTCGCTGTCTTTCCCTCTTCTTCCCTTTCCCTCTCTCTCTTTCCCTCCCTCACACTCGTTCCCTTAAACGACCCTCTTACTCAACTCACAACCACCACCACCACCACCACCACTTCCCTCTCACTCCATCTCCGCTACTTTCCCACCAACGCCCTATCTTAGGTGCTTTTCTCTACCCACCCCCCGCCCTCAATTTTGTTTTTCTCTCCCCTTTTACACAACAACTTTGTTCTTATCTCCTACCATACCATCTCCTTTTCTTCTCTCTCGCTTTATTCCCCCATTTTGTCTTTTTATATCATCTTTCCGAGTTCCCGGTTTTATTTCCGGTTCTTCGAACTCCTGTTCATTTCCATTCCCTTCCCCCTCCCTATTTTGACCTCGCACATCCACCAACCAACCAACCACCTCCCCCTCCTCCTCATCCCTCCTCCCTCTCACCTTGACTACTACCACCCCACTCTTTCCCCTCTTCGCCTCACCATCCCCCCTCCTGCTGTCGCAAAGGAATACTTGAGTGGAAGAGAGATATATCAACCTCTCCATGAGTGGAATCGAATATTGTTGTTGACTCGTCTGGAAAAAGGCAGAGCGATGATTAGCCTCAGGGTGGAACAGCACTCAGAATCTCCGAGATCCCGTCAAGACCATCTTTCCCGTGGAAACGACGATACCAGAGCCTACGACGGCAATGCCGATTGCCAGTGAGAGTACCACCGTCAACTCCGTTACTACCACCATGACAACTTTTTCCGCCCCGGTCACCGCACCTAGATCGATGCCCAACAATCAGTCTGCGTTGGCGGCATCCTTTACCAATTTCCTCACCGTATCAATACACCAGATCCTGTTCTTACGTTCGGTCTATCCACGAGCCACGTTCCTCCCCGTGCGGGCGTACAACTATCCCGTCCGACAATCCCGTCACCCCAAGGTGTGTGATTACATCAATGACGCGTCAATTGCGGTCGGAACGGAGATCTTGAAAGGCACAATAACCGCTGTCAGCATTATCATCTCCTCCCTCCGTACGAATCAACCTCTCGAACGATATGCCTTTGATTTATCGGGTTTCCCCCGTGTTCCGGCTGGCGAAGTCAATACCACCTTCGAAGACAGAAGGGAGGAACAAACCAAAGCGGGTGTTCCCGTAACCGACCGGGCTTCCGCCCCCACATCAGTCGACCTCGAAGCGCAATTCCGGGCCTGTCTAGCAAGACTGGCTTCAGCCTGTGCGCGCCTGACTCCCTTGCCTCGGGACGATGAATTCAGTTTCACCGTCTGCATCGAGGTGCGGGAAGATGCTTTACCCCCGGCGGGGACCACAACCGAAGAACAGACATGGATTGTGGCCGAACCGGATAAGGTCCACCTCCGATCGTGCACCGCCCCTTACTCCGTTTCTAAGTTGAGAAACGGCGAGCCGCAACAGCCGCCTCCCAAGGTATCGAATGGACGTGCCAAGACGGTCCCGGTACGACGTGTAGAAGCTGGAGAGCTTCGCCTGGAA